TCAACTCCAAGATAAAGTATGTTTTACAAACAAAAAAAATTCGGCCACAACGAACTAATGGAAGTGTTTTTTCTTTCTACCTAACAAATAATTAGTGTAATGAGAAATAACAACTACGTTAATTACAATCTGACTTAGCATAATTTGGATATGAATTGGAACATAAAGGAAGAAGTAAAGAGCCAACTCTTGATTAACTACTTTGCTCATGTTTTCCTTAGTGAGTTTACCATTAATGATGCTCTTAAGAGAGAATCATAGTAGAAGTAAATGGTTGCCAAGAGTTTTGAGATTTTAAAATGTCAAATAATGTAAAGGGCATTACTTTTCTTTGTTTGGTTTTTTTCAAAGAATCCGAGAAACGTTATGAACATAAAGTAGTTAAACAGAGTACGGAGGGAAGCAAAACTCATGGGAGAAAACAACAATTTAATAGAAACAAAAAAAAACATGATGCGTAAGAATTTACACAGGTTAGAAATTATAACCTGAGAATTTATCTTGAAACGAAGAGATTAGGGACTATCGCGTAGGTTAAAACAAACCTAATCGACGTCGAAAAAAAATAAAATTGTGAGTCAAATTTAAGAAAGAGGGACAATTACCTGTTTTTTCAGCGTGAATCTCATTAGAAGGGGCAAGAGAGAATTATAGGTATCAGTTTCTCATCTGAGATTCTACTCTTCAATAGGAATAAAGGTTTTTTAATGTTTTTAGTTTTGATTAATTGATTAATTAATACTATAGAAATAATTGCGTAAGATTTGGAAAAAAAATCCAAAATGAAATTAAAAACGAAAATAAAGGAGAATAATTAAGAGATTGACACGTATATGTTTTGACGAGGTGTAAGTATGAGAGTACAAGAATGACTCTCTCTCTCTCTCAAACTTCTGTTTTATAAAATAAGGGATATTTATTTATATGTAGATGATTTTATGTTAGAAAATAGTAATCCGTGAATTGATCGGTCAATCCAAAGACAAAAATTCGCAAACTCCGCAATTCAACAGGCTAACCCATACCCGCTCCATAGTGGGACTGGTCTAACCCGCTCCACATGTTATGGGCCACTTTTGACACCTCTATCTTCTATCCAACCAGATTAAGTGAAAGAAGCTCTCAATTTTTGGCTTTTATCATTGTTTCTTGGAGTTTACTCGAAGAAATGAAATTGATTGATTAAGGAATTTGAATTTAAAGTGAAGATAAAGAAAAACACACTTATTTTATGGGGTTTCCACAAAACTACTGAAACTTTAAGAAGTAATTTCGTGTAAATGTCTTTTTTTTTTTTTGTCGTTTTCGTGTAAATGTCTTCATACGTTTGTTTTGTAGTTTTCCAAATTTAGTATTTGTTTTTGTCTTTAGATATATAAATGTAACAAAGAAAAGTCAGTCACTAAACTTTTGTCAGATGATCAAACTGTAGAAAAAAAAGGAGAAATTGTTAAGTATCAGATAAAGATGGTTGAGCTGATTAACAAATAAAACAAGACTTATGGATTTTGCTTTTAAGTTAATGATTAGATGTTAAACAATTCTTGTACTTCTTTTAAAGAACCAAATCTGATATTTTGGTTTGATAGAAAGAACACTGGTAATTGCTTAATTTGGTGGGTTTGGTAAGAAATTTGGTTTATCTGTTATATAAATCTCATAAATAGTTATTGAAGCATTTTTAGTGAGTAAGCAAACAAAGCAATGGCTGAAGCAAATGGCCTTGAGAGACTTAAAGCAATGAGAAGTTTATTAAAGAGTGAAATGGAGAAATCAGAAACTTTTTCATTGGTTTTAAACAAGACAGGATCAAAGCTTGAAGAGATCAATCACAAGTTGTTGTCTTTAGAAGCTGATGTTAAAGTAGAGAAATGGAGATCTTCTCCTTTCTCTGATCATATCCGTCACACCGTTGCTCCGGTATCCGCTGTTTTAAGAGTCTTTGCTTCGGTTCAAGAACTCGAAAGATCTCTGGAGCCCTTCAATGGAGTTCTTGGTTATGTTGCGGATGTTAAACGTCTTGAAGAAGTTATGAAGCTTCTCTCTAGTAGCTGTGTTCTTGCTCTTAATTGGCTTGAAGATACAATTGAGTTTCTTACCGAAAACGGTATGCCTGAAGATCATCCTTGCGGTTTACGGTTCAAGACTTCGATAGAGCTTCTGCGGGAACTTCAAATGACCGAGGCTCGTGCTTATCTCAAAGGAGGGAGTCTTTACACCGCGCTGAAGAATCTCGAAAGAGAATTCGAGCGGATTCTTGAAGACGATGGGGAAGAGGTTTTGTCTGAAGCAAATGTGAGAAAGCTTCAAGCTATCATCAAGAGATTAGATGCTCACACACAGTTAACAAAATGTGTATCTGTTTACATCAAGATCCGAACTACGGTCATTCAGAAACGGTTTAAGATCGGTTATCTCGAGAAAACAATCACGGAAGCTGATAATGTACATGATCTTGAAGGTGATATAGATCAATGGAGATTGCATATGGAGATAGCTGTGAAAGAGATCTATGAGTTTGAGAGTAAGCTCTGTTCCGAAGTATTCGAAGAAGAAAATGTTCGATTGCGTTGCTTTGGAGCAATAGCTTCAAATTCAAGAATCATTCCACTTCTCAGATTTGGATCAAGAATCAGCAAATGCAAGAAAGATCCACCAAAGTTGTTAAAGCTCTTAGATTGTTTCTCTACGATGGACAACATTCGGATCGAGTTTAACCGGTTATTTAGTGGCGAACCGTGTTCAGAGATACGCGTAGTTACGCGTGAGCTAATTAGCAATCTTGTTAATGGTGTTTGTGAGATCTTCTGGGAGTTACCTTGTCAAGTGGAGTTACAAAGATCAAATTGTCCTCCTCTTGATGATGGTGTCCCCAAGCTTGTGAGTGTTGTGACTGAGTATTGCAACAAGCTACTTGAGAACAACAACAAACCGATCTTGTCGAAGATTCTCGAGATTGATTTAGGCTGGAAAAACGAAAAGTATCAAGAAGAGCTTCTCACTGGTCACATCTACAACATTTTGAGAGAGATTGCTTTGAATTTGGATGCATGGTCAAGTTCCAACAAAGAAACAGCTCTTTCTTGCATCTTTATGATGAACAATCACTGCCATTTCTGCGGTTTGAGAGAGACGCATCTTGGTAAAATGATGGGAGAGTCTTGGTTAAACGCGCACGAGCAGTACAGAGACTATTACGCGGCGCTATACGTCAAAGAAAGCTGGGGAAAGCTCTTGTCTCTACTCAACAACAAAGCTCAAACCGTTTCATCGTCGTCTAAACGAGCCCGTGAATCGATTAAACGAACATTACAAGCTTTTGGTAAAGGCTTTGATGAGATCTACACAAAGCAAACAAATTGGATTGTTGAGGATGAAAAGTTGAGATGGAAGATACGTCAAGCAATGGTAAGAACCGTTGTTCCAAGGTACAAGAGTTACCTTCAAAGTTACATAATGCTTCTAGTCGAAGAAGATACGACTTCTTCGAGTCCCGGTAAGGATTTAAACTATACTCCAAAGGGTTTAGAGATGAAGCTTAAGACAATGTTTCAGAAAAGAGAAGAAGAAACAGAGAAGAGGTATAAGGATTCCCACTTTGTGAACAAAGTGATGGATTCTCATTTGACATTAGAAGCTATATGATAGATACTTTAGACAGAGAAATTTACACTCATAGCTTAGGCTTACTTGAAGAAGTGTGTAGTGTATAATTTGTATATTGTAAAATACAAACATGTGTGAAATTGGGTTTTGTAATGTGGAATTGTGGATGATTAATGTAATTGAATCCAAAAGATTATAGAAACACAACTAGATTAATAAAGTATTTTTTTTGCATTTTTTGAATTGAGAGATTTGCAACTTCTAAGTCTCTTTGGTCAAATTAAAATGAAAGGTTCCAAATTTGTAAATTTCTAAGAAGAAATTGAGACATACCAAGTAGATAGATCTTGGCCTAGTGACGAGTTTTGGACCTTTTAAAAGTCGTACATCTTTATATCTTCTAGTTCAATTCCCACTTGTGTGGAAAACAAATGTATGAGTTTCGACACATAAATTTTTCATTTTAACTTTAAAATAAGATAAAACATAACTCATCGAAAGTAAGCAAAAACCATAGTTAGTCAAGGCGAATGACCAACACATTTGTGATTTTTGTGGTGGTTGGAAGCAGAGAGATGGTGGTAGGACGCATTCCACGACGGGTTAGATTAGATGGAAGATAGATCATACCAAATAGACCAAGAATGATTTGATGTATGATCGTTTAGACCATTCCTTTCTTTGGTCCACATAAACTAATCCAAAATACCTACCACATAAACTAATCCACACTAATCTTTTTTCTTCCTTTAGTCCAAATCTAACTAATCTTATCAGGTTTGATTGAAAAGAAAATTTGGGAATGGGAAAAATATTATTATTTTGTATACTTAGCTTTCTTTCCTTTTATTTCCCAAGGGTAATAAAAAGTTCATTTCTCATATTTATCATTAGGGTACATGAGACATGATTAATGTAATAATAACGTGATAATTTGGGAAATTAACGGTACAAAAATTTGACCCACAAGAGAAACGGTACAAAAAATATTGTGATTACGAAAAGTTAAAAGTTAAACACTTGAAGACCTCGCAAGCTTATTATATACATAATTAAATTTGACTCTTGAGTCATTATTTCACGAAATTGCTAATGTTAGAGATAAGAATTTTATTTCAACTTTGCATTCACATTTTGTGACCTTTTTTGTTGTTGTTGCTAACACACATTTTGTGACTTTATGCATTACATTTATCTTTATTATTGGAATGTAATAATATAATCTGATCGTTTCCCTT